TCGGTCTGCCTCGAAAAGATTCTGGCAAGTGATCAGGCTTGATGACTGGGTAAAGAAACTGGGCTTTACCCATGCTGTTCACGTCTGGGATAGAGAACTGCAGTGGAAGGGGAATTTCGAGGACCTCCTGAATCCCACTGATATGGCTTCCTTGGAGCTGAAAGACTCAGAGGGGGACTGACTTATCTCTAGGGCTGACATCACTGAAGTAGTCAAACAACTGTTCAGTGGTAAGGCTCTGGGGGGTGAATGAAATTCCCCCTGTGCTCCTGAAAGCTCTTGATGTTGTTGGGCTGTCTTGGCTGACACGTCTCTTCAACATTGCGTGGAGGTTGGGGACAGTGCCTTTGGATTAGCTGACTGGGGTGGGGGTCCTAATCTGTAAAAAAGGGAACTAGAGGATGTGTTCCAACTTCAGGGAGATCACACTCCTCAGTCTACCTGGGAAGGTCTATGGCGTGGTCCTGGAGAGGAGGGTCCACCCCTTGGTCAAATCTCCGATACAGGACGAACAATGTGGATTCTGTCCTGGTCGTGGAACACTGGACCGGCTGTTCACTCTCGCAAGTATACTAGAGGGGACATGGGATGTTGCCAAACCAGTCTTCATGTGATTTGTGGATCTGGAAAAGGCATGTGATCATGTACCTTTGGGGGATCCTGTAAGGGGTGCTTCAGGAATATAGCTATGGGGTCCATTGTTGCGGGCTATCATGTCCATGTATAAATGGAGCAAGGGCTTGGTTCGCATTGCCAGCAGTAAGTCAGATTTGTTCCTGGAGGGTGTTGGACTCCACCAGGGCTGCTCTTTCTCACTGATTCTGTACATAACTTTTATGAGCAGAATTTGTAGTTATAGACAAGGAGTGGAGGGGGTCTGGTTCGGGGGCCTCAGGATCACATCTTTGATCTTTGCAGATGATATGGTCCTGTTGCCGTCATCATGCTCTCACCTGCAGCATGTACTGGGGCTGATTGTGCCTGAGTGTGAAGGGGCTGGGATGAGGATCAGCACCTCCAAATCTGTACCCATGCTTCCCAACCAGAAAAAGGTGGATTTCCCTGTCTTGGTGGAGGATAAGTTGCTGCCTTAAGTGAAGGAGTTTTGGTATCTTGGGGTCTCGTTCACAGGTGAAGGAAGAAGGGAGCAGGAGATTGACAGGCAGATTGGTGCAGCATCAACAGTAATGATGACCGTTCTATCATGATAAAGAGGGAGCTGAGCCAGGAGGCAAAGCTATCAATTTACTGGTCAATCTATGTTACTACTCTCACCTATGGTCACAAGCTTTGTGAAGTGACCGAACAAATGAGATCATGGTGTATGGGCTCAGCCTTATAGATAGGGTGAGAAAGCCAGACATTCGGGAAGAACTTAAAGTAAAGCTGCTGTTCTTCTGCATTGAAATGAACTAGTTGAGGTGATTCGGGTATCCATCCGGGATGCCTCCTGGGCGCTTCCCTGGGGAGATGTTTTGGGCATGTCATACTGGGAGGAGACCCCGGGACAGATCTAGGACTCACTGGAGAGATTACATATCTCGGCTGGCTTGGGAACACCTTGATATTCCCCCAGAGGTGACTGGGGAAGCATCCCTAATTAGACTGCTGCCCCTGTGACCAGACCACGGATAAGTGGTGGACAATGGATGGATGGATGGATTCATCCTATGATGTTTCTTATTTGTTTGTTTGTTTATTTGTTTCAAGCAAGATTAGCAGGAGTCAGATAGTCCAATACCAGATGCCCTGTTGTGCTTTCAATGAATCTCATTCGTTCTTCATCTAATATCCCTAGAAATCTTTGAAGATCTTGCATTAATTTGCTTAAACTTTAATTGCCATGTTTTGCTGACCATAATCTATAACTAAATCTGCGTCTACACTCAGAGCTGTCATGCTGAATTATACGTCGCTCTTACAGGCTTTAATTAAAGGTGCTACATTGGACTTCTGGTTGTTGTCACGAAGCAGTGAAAAATGCAACTCCCACGAACTAAAATCTGAGCACTTTCCCCAGTCTCTGTAAGTTGCTTTCCATCGATTTCCTTAGCATGTCCTCCATTTAAATTTAAATTATATTCTCACAATTAAAAGAAACATTTTTTACATCATTGTATTTCAAGTTTGACTAAAAACCTCTATGAAACTGCTGAAACATTCCATTGAATTGTGTTGTTTTACTGACATCTGCTTTGAATTGCCCTGCCATTTGAATAGGTCAGTTGCTTCTCTTTTAATGTTCCTGCATTCAGTTTACTGAACACCTTAAAAAAAACCTAGCAGTGCTCAGATTCAGTAGCAATCCCGCCTTTTCAGTGTGAAATCCTCTTTTGTAAAGGTCTGTGACACAGACAGCTCTCTACTTTTATCAGTATTATTCTAATCTGATTCATCCTCCCTCAGATCATCAGAGGAAAGAGGCTTTTTGAGAACCTTCAAATAAAATTATTTACTTCTGCTTACTTTTAGCTTGCATTCAGTTTCAAATGTAACACGAAAGCAGGAAAAAGGAAAGGGATGCTGTCAGCCATAGACCATGCAAACACAAAAGATAGATAGATATATATGAATTGACATATATGTCAATTCTTAGAGTTTAATAAGAGCCATTCTTCTGAACTTTGGGCCCATTATTTATAAAGTGGCACTTGATGTCACAACCAATTATGAACACAAAATTGCCACTGTTATTTGCAGTTTATAGAGTAATGTTAGATTGCACTGACGTATATTGAGACATGTACATACAATCTTATACATCCAGTTAGCAGCAAGACAGAAATGAGACTTTTTGAACGTGGAACATTTTAAACTTTCATCAAATCAGATTTAGGATTAAGTAGATGCACAACCTGGAAAGAATTATAGATCACCTGCTGCATTTTTGCAGCAGCAGGGGTCTCTGCTCCAGTGCTTGTGTCATGTTTTTCATCGGCATTGTTAGCCTCACACTAGCGTGCCGTCAGCTGGTCACTGACGATATCACACTGTGTGGCCATTCCCCACATTCCGCAGCTGCAACACCTCCTGTACATATTGTCAGTTTGGAGAACTGGGTAGAAACTTTTAAACAATTGTCCATAATTTGGGAACCTGCAGGTAAATTCTATTCTATCTTTGAACAATTTTAACTGAATAATGGTGCTACTTGGGAATTATTTTATTGGCATTGGGACTACCTTACTACTTATCCCTCCATCCATCCATCCATCCATCCATCCATCAATGAATCACTTTCAGTTCACAGTTGCAGGATAATATTTGCTTATGATAAAAACTATGTTTCGGTAATCTTTGTACAAAGAGAAGTTTAGCGAAGGTGAGGTTCTTTCAATCTGATCAATACTTGATATGTTTTATTATCTTTTAGTTGCTCAAAATTGTCAATACATATTTACCAGGGCTTTTGTTCCCAAAGGTTCTTCTACCCAATTTTATGTGTACTTATTTGTACCCATTTACCCTACTTTGCATTGTATAAAACCTGTAATTATGAGGTTGTGGGGACCATGTTTCAGTCCCCACAACAGGAAACACAATTTAAAAAAAATCTGTGGCTGCGATCAAAAAGCTAAAAATGTGGAAAATAAGGGTACTTGCGGTTAATGTTAGGGCAGGGTAGGGGTTAAGGTTGTCATTGTTAGGACCAGGGTCTTTCCCCTAGAAATGAATAGATGGTCCCCACAAAGACATGAATAAGAGCATGCGTGTATGTGTGTGAGTGAGCTTGGATGATGCATGTTCCCTCTGAGTTGGGCTGCGTTCCTCCGGGTACACCGGCTTCCACCCACAGTCCAAGTAGACGCAGTTAGCCTAGCACAAGTTGTTAAATTGCCCGGAGTGCGTGAGCCTGTGTGTCCTGTGATAAGCTGGCTTCCTGCCTACGGTGTACCCCCAGCTTGTACTCTATGCTGCCTAAGACAGATTCCAGCCGCGAACCCCTGATCCTCTTCAGAACAAGCATTTAAAAAAATAAATTAAAATAATTCAATTTAGAACACTCTATTTTTCATTAGTGTGCTTTAAAATTAATTGAACAATTGCACTATACCCTTTCTGTCTGTATCTATTGTCATTTTGAAGAATGATCAACATCCTTCAATGTTTGGAACACAGGCCAGTCAGGCTCAGCCTCCATCAATGGACTGGATGATAGCCCAATACGATTTGTCTGTAAATCACCTCTTTGTTGTACATACATGGCCATGTTAATGCAAGTGTAGGCGTCCCTGATGAGACAAGACAGTAGAAATGAATTTGAATCGGCAAACAACAGTGCAGGATAGTTTTGCCTCACGTATAAGGTCAATTCTGTCACTGAATCTTGCTGAATGGGTTAAGTGTCACTGATTTATGGCCTCACTGACTTTGTTCACCCACTGGCAATCAAGCCATCAAGCTGACTGAATCACATTAGGGACACATTAAGTGAAACTATCATTCTTTAAATAACAAGTTATTGTAACCTCTTTAATTATATTCTCTTACTATATGCTCTTCATAATTTACCTCACATTATACTTAATTATACTTAAATTATTGCTTCTCAATTGAATAATTGCAAGTTAGTATAATATGAGAGTGTATATTCACACACTGTTGTTTTTTTACATTTCTTTGACTGGAAGAGGAATTGGTTCTCTCCTGCCCCTTCACCACCTTAGCTACTCACCCAGCAAAAAGTTGTTGAAAAGATGTTGAAAAGACAACTTTGTCAGATGTCTCAGAAATGTTGAGATTTGATTGAAAAGTGAAAGGTAAAAACCCGACTTTTCTGGGTCATTGAAAAGAATTCTATAAAAAAACATCCTTCTACAGTCTAGGTTGCATAGTTAACCATGAATTTATTGTTATTGTAATATATGAATACTGTATGTACATAATTTTTCATATTATATTCATTATATCATATTATTAATAGAAAACTCACAAATAATAAAACACACAAAATTAATTCAACTGACAAAAGGGTACCAATAAACCATTTTATTGGGCATCTTAGGGTCATGTTATTGAATGGAAAAGACAAAATTGGCAAAAAAAAATATTTAAAACAATGGTGTCCTTTAATTATTTTGAGGTACTGTAGCCTCCATCGCCATAATGCCCAGCAGCATGCTTTAGGTGGTCTGCTGTGGCACTGGATACATCATAATCAGGGGCACTGCAGCCCCACTTTTTGACAGCAACTGCAATGACAAATAATATGAAAGAACATGAAATTGCATATTATGGAAGGGAAAATGGCAGTAATATCATAGACAAGACATATTGCATACCCCTGCAGTGTACTCATATCCACAAGAAAAACGCTCCAATACTATAGCGAGCACCATATATAACTCGTCTTATAACACCTATACTGAAACAGACAGAGGCTAAATGACTAGCAAATAAGTGGGACAGCGTTGGGTTAGGGTGACAGAACAGACATGATCGAATTAGCCACATGGTGGAAATGCTACTCGGATCTGGTGCGGAATATAGAACCAATTTTTAAAAAACTTTCCTCTTAATTTTTGGGCACGTATGTACATTTTAAAAACAGGGCCTCAAACAAAACGCCAGCTTCCTATGTGTCTGTTGTCAATTCAAACAGAAAATGTCACTAAATCCAGTTTCACTATGTGCTAGCTAGTCAAAGCGTTAGTATTAGCTGCTGATGCAAACGGCTTACCTTGCAGCCGCTGTGAATGTGTGAAGGAGGACATTGCAGCACGTGATACAGCAATACTGCCCCCATAGGTGTCTTATGGGTCATTGCAGCCCCTTTATACAGAAATTGTCAGATTTAAAAACCTTTTATAGTCATTAAATAGTGATCTCAACTACTGCTGCCCACTTTCACTGGGCATGAACCCTTATATCTAATAACCTGCTGTAGGAAACCTGTTACAGTTTACACAAAAAGTTAGACACTAAACACCTGGATATTTTGAAACGATCGTCCAAGAACTTTGGACTAATTAAATAGAAGCATACGATAATATATAGTTTTTATTCCTTTTCTACGATTTGTACTTAAGTTTAAAAGAATTCTATTTCCCGTTATTTCGTTGACTACTACTTATCGATGAACCTATCAGAATATGCACCTCGGAAGAAAGGAGCGCGCACACCATCCATTGCTGAATCTCTGAAACCTCCTGCTACTGCTAGGATGCTAAATATATTTGTACACCCCCTAGTACAGGTCTTAATAAAAGCCTGGTCCTAGCAGTAATGGAACATAAGCCACAGTTCTCACCTGTTGGTTCTGATTCAGCAAAATGTTCTACAATTCCCAGATAACCTGTCAAGGACCAATTTCTCTATGAAACTTGTTTAAAAGGAAATAAACGAGAGAAAGTAACATACGCCACATTTAATACATTTCAGCAGTGTTATGGGGGGGCATGACGAAGGAAGAGAAAATCCAGGTAGCGCCTCCAACAAACCAGGGTTTTATTAAGAAGACAGAACATAAAGGGAGAAACAGAACACAAAGGGCCCACCAAGGTCCAAAACTAAACTAAGGCAGGAGCAACACCAGGAACAATACAAAGCGTAGGAAGGAACATGTGTTATTGTAGTTCTAAGAATTACACAGGAAACCAACATGAACAGGCACTAAAATACACTGCTAACAAGATATAACACAGGACAGGTGAGAACCATAACAAAATCAACCAATCACTAAGGGCATGGGGCAACATGGAACAGGTGGGGTAATTTATAATTAACAAACACTAGTGACTAGGAAACAGGGACAAACATGGAGGGCTGTCAGCACTAGAAGAAATCAAGGAACACCAGGAAAACAGCATATAAACAAGGCACAGGCAGGGTAATGGAAAAAAAAGATATAATACTGTATATCCATACAGATACCAGGGGATAAAATAAAGCCAAAGTATGACACAAAGGTGAGGCAGGCCTCAGGCCAGCCTCAATCTTATGGCAGGAGGGGTGTCAGCCTCTGAGCCATATGCTCAAGCCAATGAGCAACGCAGCGGCCCAGGGAGCTGAGAAACACGCTAGGGGAACATCAAACGGGATGGCCAGCGGGAACTGCTGGGCAAATGGAGAAGAGACACATGGGACTGGGCCGGATGAGCACCGACCCTGACAAAGCATTTTCAGTATTTGTTAGCAAAAAGTAGACCACATGAGAAAGCGTGCCTTTTTCTAAATAAAAATATTATATCGCAAGTCATATTTTTAAAACAAAAATCACATTTATGCCAACACATTTATGTTTGCCACAGCTCAAAACAGGCTTGGTACAACTATGAGATGTGCAGTGAATATTTATGCATCTTTCAAAGCGTAAGGGATCTGGGAGGCAGGTCTCCGCCTGCCGTGAAAATTCTGCCATGTTGAGGCCTCCCTTGGTATATAAGTACTGCATTAGCTAATGAAAACGATGACAGACACAGCAGCATGCACATGCATACACCAAACCTGACTAGCAAACATGGAAAATTCAAAAGAAAACACAAAATGTAAAAGCAAAGCAGTACTAATGTGCATACTGGGTCACCTTAAAATGGTTGTTGGCAATGCTACATTAAAATCTAAAAACACCAAAATAACAGAGAGTAGTGAATTATTTATAAATGTATAAATCTACATTTGTAACATGTTCACTTTCAATTATCAATATATATTCTAACATTCCCTAAAAACCTATTTTTACATCATATTAAAAAAAAAAGATCCACCTCCGCACATGATCCTTCCAGTATCCTTTTTACTTGCGTGAATTTTTTTTCGGCTTTGAAGTTGAATGCATTTAGTCATGTTGTTGTAGAATCTGCCCCCGCATAAAAGGAAAGTGGAAGAAGAAGAGGCAGCGTCCCCATGAAATGTAAGCCAGAGGGTCTTCTGCCAAAATGTTAAAACTTCAGAAGTTCTGCATGCCAATGATAAAGACCTGCAGGGGTTTGGCATTAGTAGTACTACTGAATAAAGAGAAGACAGCAGGATACAGAAATAAAGCATTCAAATGCCCTAAAAAAAGTTTGACCTACAGGGAAGGAGTTTCCCTTAAGCGTCAAAAGGGTGTGTGGAAAGAAGGGTGCTGTCCAGGACACTGCTGATCATCACCAAACATGGATGCAACCTCATTTCCACACTTGCTTCCCTTAAATAAATGAAGAAAAGGAATTGGCAGGTCACGAAGAAAACAAACCTGGGGAGAACTCTTCCCTCAGGAACCAAATTACAGTACACATACCAAATCCCCTTTTTTATTATAAACCTGTTTTCTGCTGCGGTTTTGTAATTAATGGGTCCTGCAGATGCCACCAGCTGGTCCCTGGGTACTCGATGTTCAGTCTGCAGTGGTGGCCAGACACATCCCCCAGGCATAGCTACAAGTGACCAGCAATTTGGAAACCCGTGCTGGGCCTGAACAGAATGTAGAATCGGGAAACGCGACCTCATGGCCCAGCGGTTAGTATACCCCCACTTCTTTCTGCTTTCTCTCTTTTGCCTTTATTCAGCCAGTCCATTTATAATGGAGGCAACTAATAGCCTTGGTGGAGACAAGAATTGTCCCTGCCCTCGGGGCAAAACATCCATTCTTTGCAACATAGTCAAATGCAGTGAAGTGGTAGGGACGGAAAACAGGAACAAAAAATGTACACTATCTTTAACAGCTGACATCATAACAACAATTAATTAAATACCAGGGACGGTATTAAAAGGCTCAGGGAAACACTGTAGACTATAATGCTTTGGACCGGAATGCAAAAGCTTCAAGATCACGACAGTCTTTAAATAGGATTTCATTGGCGCTTAATTAGTGAGCATAGTCTGATTTTGGCAGAAACTGGGAGCTCATTTTCCTAATGGCCACCTAGTATTACCGTGTCGAAGCTATTTGTGTCGCGTTTCTTGTGACTGTGGACCCAAAGCATAAACATTTGGTTCTGCATACATGATCATGTTGTGTAATCTGTATAGTAAATTGTGTCACATATAGGACACCATTACAAAGATTGTTAGTTAAATTGATCAATTTGATCAACAATCATGTTTTGTTGATTTTAATTAAGGACGGGCACCTAATATAGAGATATATTGTTATAAATCAATGTTGGGCGCCTGCAGTTCTTTCAGCATTGTCAAGTAGGGCCTACTGATTGAAATCAGGTGACATCTTTCTATAAATGGATACCTGAATGACACTATTAAACACTAAGATGAAATTAAACCACATGACCCCTAAGAACCAGAATTGTCTTCTCCTATCCAGCATCCAAACAGATACAGTAAATGAAGTATTCCCCCAGGGGAGGGTCACAAGGGTTTGTCTCCCAAGACGCAAGGCTTTTTTTTAAGCAATTGTCACTTTGCCATTATCTTTAATCAAGTCCCAGGTGACAAACTCCTCTTCAGGGACCTGTTTAATCAGAGCATTTCACTTATTTGCTTTCTACTGAAGCCTTGGGTTGGAGTCCGTAGCTCATTTAACAAACTTTTAAACCTTTCAACCCTGCGGTTGCATTGGTTTCTGGATGACAAATGAGTCCCGGAAGCCATGGGGATTCCTCCTTGACTCCCCTCCCTCAATGAGGCATCCACTGCTGCCCCCCAGAGTTTCGTTAGACCTACCTGGAGAGTTCCTGCCAAGCATAGGGAAACACACATCTGACAGTCATGGATTATCTTAGTGACAAGCAATGGGATGGAATGGGAGATGACTCTTAAGCACAGAAATAATTTGGGGAAACATTAAAATGACTTTCACAAAGTACAATAAAATGGAATTTTTTAAGGATTTGCTCATTTAGGCACATTGATCTAAGACAACAAATGGAATGTTATCTAATTTTGCACTAATGTAAAAATAAACACTTATCAGAATAATTTTACGCACAGCATCCTCCCTTTTATCATTGCGTTTTGCTAGTTGTAGATAAGCACAATAATTCAAGTAAAGAAGGTGGTGCTGTTTGCAGATATTAACAAAGCACTGTTGTGTTCCACAGAAAGCAGGCACAGGCTATCTCTTAACTGTGACTGAAGAAATGAGGCTTTGAAATCCACAGTGGTTGGGATCGTCACGTGCTGCCACTAACTGATTGGTTTTACCTTTGCCTTTGGTTATTTGATTGGCTTAAAGCAGCGTGCACGGTAATCCCACTGTCAACTCCAAAGGCTATTTTCTCTCATAACGTCCTGCTAACATGGGGTTGATATATCATACAGACTATGTTTTTAAATACAGCAACGCAATTTTTCAGAAACTGCAAATCAATGTGGGCCAAAACTTGCAAATTGTGATAAATTGTAGATAATAATAATAATAATAATAATAATAATAATAAATGTGATTTATGAAAAAGAACACTACTCAATTCAATGTTAGTGAGTTCTTATATTTTGCTTCTATTCAAGTGGACTGTGGACAGTTCATGGAACTGGGAAAATGTAATGTTGTGTTGAGGTAGTGCAATTTGATTAGCATTCAGATTTGAGATACCGTTGTCTAGCACTCTGTGTAATTTGCAATTTCTGAATTAATATGAAAAGGCTAAATTATAGCATTTATGATGATAATACTCACTGTCAAAAGCAAGTTTAGATTCTGGGGGACACATGCTATCTTGCATATTTTAAGGCCAGTCTATCATCACAATTACTCTAATGTGTCTGACACACTGCCATTGCTCTTAAAGTGATCAGTGTTTTAATCAACAGCCCATAAATCAACCATCGCTATTAATTTCTTCTTTCCGTGTCCTTATTTTATTTATTTGCCTCCAAATGGAACCAAGTGCACAGCTTTCCCAGAGCTTTCTGTGATTGTTATGGGGTTTGAACAATTCTCCAAGCAATTTGTTGCTCATCTAAAGGGATCTAATGAATGGGCCTGTGTCAATTAGTCTTGGGCTGGATGTCTTTGTCTTGCTTGTTTAGTTCTGCTTAGTAAGTGCACACCTTGTCTGCTAATATTAATAAAGAAAAACATTGGGGGAGAAATTATAAATAATTAGAGTGGACTTTAGATGTGCCAACAAGCCATTACTGTGCCCCATCTGAAAGACTACCCTCTACTTCTGCCTCTACCTAATTAAAGGTAATCTGGTCTGAGCCAGCGGAGGAAGGACCCCTGAGATTAATATCATTCTATTGGTGCACCAATAAATGATGTGAAACAAAACAGAGGCCACATACATGAATCTTGGCACTTAAAAGAGGATGTGATCTAAAATCTGCAGTACTTACACTAAAGAACATAAAACATGTAGCAGAAATCACATTTTATTTAATTTTGATTAATTGATGAAACAATTAAAACATTTAAATAACCATAATCTTTTATCTCGTAAATGCTACAAGCCTAAGATTATTTTTAACGTGCTTTATAAATGAAAGTTACTTACTTACTTGCTATTAGTAGTCTTATTGCCCAGTGTGAAACCAGTTGTTGAAGCGAGGAGTTTGCAGAGGGTGTGGCTAAATATTTTAGCAGCACAATCATGTTACACTTAGGGAAGTATGTGTCAATTTTGCAAATTCTTAGTAACATCTGCAAACATTGGTTTTGTTTGCGTGATGTGCCCATTTTAGTCGAGAACGAGCTACCGTTGCCCATAACAGATATAATGGCTAGCACTGGAAATAAAATATTTAAAATGGTATAGTAATTTAAGGTTAGGTCTGCTCATTACTCAGTAGACACTGGCGGGAAAAATAAATACTGTAAAGCTATCAGAGTGCCTGTGCATGCCCTCCTAGCAGAAAGCTTTCCCTGCATATCGGGAAAATAATGGAAACACCACAGGACTTTAATATTGAAGTAAGAAATTCAAAATGACAAAGGTATCTGTAAAGGCGTGTCATATTAGGGTGAATGCAAATTCATGGTCTGTTTTAGCTGTCAAAGATGTCTGACCTTTGGTACTTTCATACAAGGTTTTTCAAAGCAACATCAGACAAAAGAGGCCAAAGGGTCGGTAGCCAAATTACAGGTGCATCAGCCACAAAAACTGCAAAACGATTTAACGTGTCCGGGGTAACAGTATCAGAAACCATATGTTAAAGCAAAGTGCACCAGCAAAGAGGAACAGTTGTTACATGTCGAAGTTCAAATACTGCCTTAAAAATGACCGTAGAACTGATTCAGTACCTCTGAAATGTGGTCTCAGTAAAGACTGTACATGAAGTGCTTCACAGAGCTGCACCAGGTCCAAGCACATGTAAGCATAATGTGGTGTAAGGAGCACCAAAGCTGGACCAACTCAAACCTGAACAACTGAAATATAGTATGATGGATGGTCTTGTCCTATGCTGTCTGGAATAGGCTTCAGGATCCTCCAGATTAAGATTAAGTCATCTTTCACCATTTTTTCCTATATCCAGATGAGTTTATGTTGAGGAAAGTCAAAGGATGCCTTTAAACCATAATGTCTGTTCGTCTGGACAGTCACTGTGCCTGTTGATTGCCCTGCATAGTTGCATGACAGCCAATGAATATGAGGTCATTTTACAGGAGCATTTGTGAGCATTGTTCTCTCATAATGTTTTCATCTCATGAGAACAAGATCACAAAGCTCCCTTATACAATGCTTCTAATTCACTAGTGATCTCTTGAACATCAGGATGAAGTCAGACACCTTTCAATGACTAGCCAATTATCAGATCTGAATGTCACTGAAACATTTAAGGAAGTTTTGGAGATTTCCAGCGCCATTGTTCCTCGAAGAACTGGAGGCTGTTCTTCTTAAAGAAAATTCAATATCTCACTGCACATAGTTCCTGATATCCATGATATTATGAAAGAGCTGTGAAGTTGTCTAATTATATGTTAAGCAATTAAAGAATCATCACATGCTTCCACAGTCATTAGACTGTTTCACCCACCACTAATTGTAAACAAGAAACATATTAAAAAACCTTTGACCTCACCTTCTAACCAGGGAATAGAAGCAAACAATTGAACAAAATGATTAATCAGATAAGGTCAGAGGTTCAATGATTCTCATTTACAAACAGCACAAAACCATTT